AGGTGTGCGGGTGCGGCCTACACGTAGTCGACGAGCTCGAGGAGCGCCTAGCGCTTGGCCTCCCTCTCGTGGGGCATGCCTAAGGGAGTCAGAGAAATCGAAGAGCGCGGTGATGAGGCACAACTTGCGGAGCAGGCAAGGGCAGTCCGCGACTGCGATGTCGCGGAGGAGCAGGAGCGGCTCGAGGAGCAGCAGCAACACGCTGGATGTGGCGGCGACATGGAAGGCAGGTTCACTAATAAGTATGGGTCTAGTTGTAGATGCTCTTAAATTCCCTTCTAATGAGCATTGGATGTGGGTTATCCTTAGCCAAGTTCACTAATTCCCAAAGAAAAGCAGTTTTATACTTATCATGGGCAGCCCCATAGAATGTCATCAGACTCCATATAAAATTATTGCCTCTATTTCAAAGATGAAATATAAAATTCTTTAGTTGAAAAAGCTAACAAGTCCATGGTTGTGATTTGAATCCCAAGTGAGATTCCTCTAGACATTTCATGTGTTGTTAGACTATGTCACGTGTAGTCAAAATCACATCTTAAGTGATCTAAGACATTCGCATGGAAGTCACATTTACTGGGCTTGAAAATCACCATGAAATTCAATCCATGTTGTCGCACACAATCACTGACGCGTTTATGTCGTCAAGTTTGAAAGACCTTTGCTATTCCAGAACACGCCATTCATGTGGAAATTCGGGTTCGCGGCTACCTTCGCCTTCTTGGGCGTTTTTTTTTGTTTTTTAAGGAATGTGGTTTAGAATTTCATAAAGATGTGAAGTCACAAAACATGAACTAAGGTATGGCATCATATAATCCAATCTTGGCAACTGCTCCAGGAAGAAGCAGATCATCATTGTATCATCATTTTCCTCCTCGGTTTGAAGGTTAGAGAGGTACTCAGATATTTTGGAGAAACCTTTTAAGCGGTCGATCTTCATGTGTTTGAGCACCAAAACCGATAGACTCGCCTCGTTAAGCTAGAAGAAATGTGAGTATTTCATCTGTAAAAATATATGAGTATTTGAGCAAGCAAGAAAGGATTCCATAGATACCTGGTGTGAAGTTCAAATTACGTGAAGCCTCGCAGCACATCTCCTTGTGCATAACATGCTCATCGGTCGGAGAAGACCTCAGCGATGATGGATTGACAGGTACAGTAGTCGTAGACGACGAAGTCGATGCTGCGGGAGGGGCATGTGCCGTGGACGGAACAACCCCTAGTGACGTCAACAAGGTCCCTAATCCGAACTGCATGGCCCCACCAACCTATAAGTTCAATGTTATGGACCATACTATTTGACTGCCATCAGCTCGCAACCAACCTCACGCGAACATTTTGTTCGCTATGGACAAGTGAAGACAACTAACAAAAGATCTTCGCTGTAGCGGGTTCCAGCATGACCTCATTTGGCCCAAAAACGCCTTAACGGGCTGCAGAAAAAACAAACTTCATCTTGAGTCTGTTTCTGCATGACAAATTGCTGTGCTCAGCTAAAAAAGGGATACCCTAAAAAATAAAAATAAAAAAGGAATACACATATATAGTACATAATTAAAAACTGCCACCTCTCTAAATAGAAAATGCCACAAAAATACATAAATTACAAATTTATAGAATGGCATGCTGTGAGAAGTGAAAATTGCCATGCTACTTTATAAAACTGCCCTTTAGTTAAAAGGGTTTTATCTGCATAAGCCCCACTAAAAATTGCATGCCACTAAAAGCAAAAATGCCACCATCTCAATAATAAAAATGCCATCCTATTATGAATAAAAATGACATGTGCTTATTAATAAAACTGCCATGCCATTGAAATAAAAATGTTATCCTCTCGATAATAAATTGACATCCCTATTATTAATAAAAATGGCATATTATTAATAATAAAACTGCCATGCCATTGAAATAAAAATGTCATCCTCTCGATAATAAATTGACATCCCTATTATAAATAAAAATGGCATATTATTAATAATAAAACTGCCATGTAAAAAAACAAAGTTGACTTATGTGCATTAGAAAAAATATTTAAATTTGTCACGTGACATACTCCCTCTGTCCTATAATATAAGAGTGTTTTTGACGCTACACAAGACGGAGGGAGTAGTTTCAAAAAAAATATAAAAACTGCCATATTAAATTCTTTAAAAAATGCCATGTACCTAACCAAAAAAGAACATAAAGAGCTATGGTTTCCCAGGTAGAGACTCGTGTACCTAGCCAGTGTGGTGTACGGGGAGTGTTTTGATTAGTATTATGTTCACTAGCTTTTATATTCACAACAATGTGTTATCCACGTACAGATGAAAGACTAGGTGCAACATCTGCAGTACTTAGAGATGACAGGGGAAACTTTATTGTGGCTCAATGCAAATTCATCCCACATGCAGCAGCGAATGTTATTACTGTTGAAGCAATGGCTATGAGGGATGAATTAGAGTTCGCTAATTCGCTCGGTTTGAACCAAGTTGATGTGGAGTCGGACTCACTGCAAGTCATCAATTACTGCAATGAACAGACAAAATGGTGGGATGAAGAGGCAGCTTTATTCATTGAGTGTGTGGATTTAGGATCTATGATCGGGAAGGTCATGTTTAATCATTGTCTTCGTTCTTTTAACAAAAAGAGTAGTACGTGTTAATAAATCAGACATGTCTTCTGACTTGCGTGATGAGTCGTGTAATGAATCCAACGGGAGAGAGCGCGTTCACCAGGATTGGCCTCCCTCGCGAACATTCGCCAGTTGCTTTTCCGATGGCTATTAGGCGAAACGTTCGCCAGCTAGCTTTTCCGAAGGTTATTGGGTGGAAATCGCTTTCGGTGTCAGAACTCGGACCGCATCCCTTCACCTCTTCTTTTTTTTCCCCGACAGCTCCAGGCCCCTTCATGGCTGTTGTAATCTGCAAATAAAACTGAATAAATTATGTGTCCTTTCAAATCTGGAAGACGTCCGAGCCGAAAGCCAATCATGAAGGATCTCTCCGTTCCAAACCAATCATCTTTACCTACTAATAAACCAGCGATGGCTTCTGGTCGTACGTCGCTGGCCTTTTTGCAAAAAAGTCCTCCCGTTTATGAGAAAATAACCCGCAGTCCTGTCTTAAAGGGATAACATTTCGTTCCTCCACCACTTATCCATTGCTTTTGCCTCCACTTTACCGCCGGTCACGCCCCGCCGCTTGCCGCCGGCATTGACGCCGCAGAAACCAAGGCAGGGGGATGCGTTGTGGCGGGCGTCCACGCTGCCCGAGCCCAGGAACGAGGCGAGGCATCGCGGCGGGGTTGTAGAGCGCGGCTGCCGTTGTAGGCGTCGGGCGTGGCGGACCGAGGCATTGCGGCGGGGCGGCTTCGGCCTGGAGTGCGGGCGCTACCACAACGGTGAACCGGGGGAGAGAAGGGCGGGCTGCTTGGGTGGTGAGGTAGCAGGAAGAAGACGGAGGCGGAGCGGCGCCTGAGTGGATGAGAGAAACGGCGATGTGTGGATAGTGGACTGTGGAAGGGGCACTCAGTGGCGATGAGTGGGGATTTTGGGTGCCTCGTGCCTTTTTTTAATCAAAAATGTATCGGAAGCTGCTAGATGCGGACGTGCTCATCCCGGCCGGCTGGAACGGGACCAGAATGTGGTGTAGATGCAAGTACTAGGCATTCCTGCTGAGATTGATATAGTACTCTCTCCGGTTTTACTTAGTCCACATATTAACTTTGGTCAAAGTCAAGATTTGTAAGTTTTGACTAAGTTTATAAACAAAAATATTAATATATACAATAAAAAATCAATACCACTAGATTCATTATTGAATGTACTTTCACATCATATAGATTTGTTATGACAAATTTTTATTTTATAAACTTGGTCAAACTTTGCAAAGTTTGACTTCAATCAAACCTAATATGCAGACTAAATAAAAACAGAGAGAGAGAGTATTAACCACACCAAGATGAGTAGTAAGTACTGTGGTATTCCTGCTGATTGAAGTTTGGGATAGTCTGCTAAATTGAATTGTTCAGAGCTATTTGTGGGTGTATATCAATCAAAGGATCGGTGTTGTTCAGATAGATTCTGGTTTAGTCCATTGCTGCAGGATTAAAAAAATTGTACAATTCGTTTTTAGTTCATATTTTGCTCATTTTTCGTTAAAAAACAAATTTCGAATTTCAAAATTTTGAAATTCATAATTAAAAAATGTACAATCTCAGTCCTTTTCGTCCGAGATTTTCCAAAAAAAATCAAAAATCCAAAATTCACCGATTCATTCAAGGACAGTAAATTTTTCAAAACAAAACACAAAACCTTGGCTCGATGCTTGCGTGCTAGCACCTATTACAATTTTTTTAGAGAAAGTGCAGCAACGGTGACCTGTTTCGTCCCACACGCCGGGAGGGAGGAGCTCTTACCTTTACAACATTATTAATAAAACTAAAAAGGAGACAAACAACATTCATAGCTGGATAAGGATTAGGCAATGTTCTACTAATATATAATATATGTACACAGGTTAGGACACACACAGAAAACTCAAAAAATATGTTTCATATCTGACTTATAAACTATATTTTCATTACACCTTTTTACACCTTTTGTGGTATATAAATTATTGAAACGTCACTAATTTAATTTATTGGGTTAGAGCATGTGCTATTTTTTCTTCTCCCGTTGCAACACACGGGCATTTTTCCTAGTGTACTTCTATACTAGTAGACATAAAAACGACGTGTTAACCGGGGACTGTTTCCTTTCTCCATCTTACAGGTACTAGCCCACAACATTCACTAACAAACGACATATCACTCTCACAGTGACTTTTGAGGAGACGTCCAAGCTTCAAATTCGCGTGGAGCACGATGATTACGACGCGAATTAACGCATGTTCAGAATAATTCAAACGGATGAAAAGTCAAGGCTGAGAAACAATAATGCACTCGAGGTAAGCTCCTGCTTGATTAAACAAACTGATATGAAGCAAGGAGGCCGGTGGGGGGAGCTCTAGCCTATACCCATGACAAAACAGAAGCAGGAGCAAGCTGCCACCCCCAGCCCTAGCCCCGCCCTCTTCTCCCTCCACCCTACACTTTTCTTCCTCTTCTCGTCACTAGATTCCAACTTCCAGTTCACCCCCGCCCCGAGCAAGAGGCAGCCGGCGACGACGAAGGCGGACGAGGACGAACCTTCGCACTCGCAGGGCGATGACGGGAGGCCGACGGCCATGGATCATGCCAGGAAGCGCCATCAGGAGAAGGGCTTCTTCAATGACTGGTCAGTAAATTACATGTACACAGGCGCACGGCTTGATGCTGTTGTTCCATCTCTTCTTGGTGTCTGCTTGCAGAGTTGCAGCAGCGTCCATGTCATTGATCTAACGGTTTTGTATAGCTGCAACTGTGGAAAACATATATGTGTACATAATATGTGGTGCGTCATGTTTTCTTCCATCATTTGTTTGCTGCAGCTTCTTCATGCTGTGCTGCTGCTTCTTCTGCCATGAGGCGTGCGAGCACTGCCTCAAGCGCTTCTGCTGCTGCCGCAACAAGGACGAGTGACCGACCAACCGGTCCGGAATCGGTGCTCATCCGAAGATAAACCTTGTGGATTTCCGATTGTATATTTTCAGTTTGGTTGCCAATTTGCACCATTTTAGTGCACTGGTGTAGTAAAGTCCGTGCGTGTACATCTGGAATTGGTCTTCCCCTGCATCTCAACACTGTACACCAAGAGACCCAGAGTAAGAAAACTGTGGTATTCTTCTTCTTTTTTTGAACCGTAAGAAAACTGTGGTATTCAGCAGATGCATAGTGTTGTACAATATCAGTCTGTTGTTGTTGCC